ATAGAATATTCGCTTATCTCACAGTATAAATAATAGTTTCTGAGTGAATGAATTTACGTGGACTTTAGCGACAGTCATCGATCTTGTCACCACGTGACGAGAATATAAGCAACAATCATTATATCATGACATTAACGAAGGAGAGAATATCATCAAGCATGAGGCTTAGCTGGATAAGCCCCAAACTGGTTAAACAATTCGTAAAAACTGAAAGGAAATAAATTTAGAAAAAGTTTCAACGCTTGATGCTGTTGAAGACCTATCGCCTTTTGCTGACAAAGCTTCGCCGCAAAAAATAACCGTCCTATTATTGAAAGGACTCAAAAAAAAACACTGCAAAAATTACGAATTCCTTCACACTCTACCATAAGAAATCAATACTGACTTACCTAGCCTACCAGTTCACCAGAAAACAGTCTGATTTTGGGTGGAAAATGAATGACTCCAACGTCTTAGTATAACAACAATAACGCGTAGACTGCGCAACGATGCAATGTGATACAGTATGATTAGTATGGGCACATGCCGCCGTAGAGGTGAGCATTCGAAAACAATAGACAAAAAAGTCACGCTGTCTTTAAAAGGTCACGCAGTTCATCGTCACGCGTCATTTTTTCCTTACGAGGAGAACTCACACTGCTGAAAATACCTTGGAAGGAGACAAAACCTTTATATATCGGTAAGTTTACATCAAAATAAGTTTGTTGACAAAACATTTTATAATTCGAAGTTTTTTTAATAAAAATACTCATTTAGGCCTCAAGAACGCTGCTTGGGCTTCCTGCTTTTCCAAGATCCAAGTGATTAATTAGTGAATCATTTGGTCTACTAACAAGCATTTCCCCCGTCAAAAAAACAAATATTCTCCTATAGCCGCATAAACCTTGCTTTTTTACACAATAAGGTGGTCTCCTTTTATGTGCATGAGCTTTGACCTTAAAGTGCTACTACGACGAAAATCGCTCAAACTTGGATTCAGCTGAAACTTCCTAATACTCTTTAAAGGTCCAATAATCACTGTATGAAGTGTTTTCTCGATATTC